AGTCTTTATTGGTTGTTGTCCCGGTTGGTTGTAGTCTTTATTGGTTGCGGACCTTATTTTACGTAGATGATAAATAATTACTCTGCTGGTTCACTTCAGATTTCGTGGTCAGTAACTTCAGTCAAATAAGAAATATCACAATACAATGAACACGTGTGAACCTGTACAGTTATTTAAAGTCCTGTGTGGTCATGTGCTCACTGGGGCGACTATTTAACGCCATCTGATCGCTCGACGTCTTGTTAATCATGAACAACTCGCTCAGTAAATTCCTAGGTTGTTTCTTTTTTCGGGTGTGATGAAGTTCTTAAACACACAGACTGCAGGTACTCACACACACAGAGACACACACACACCCTCACAAACACACGCACACACACACACACCCTAACACACACACATTCTTTTGTCTCCAGATGTGCAGACAGATGTTACCTACAACCACTGGCTGGGTCTGACTCTGGCCCTGCTGTCGGCCTTCCTGATTGGTGGGAGCGTCATTCTGAAGAAGAAAGCTCTCCTCCGATTGGCCAGCAAGGGTCACACCAGAGCAGGTGAGCAGAGAAGAGGTCTCACTCCTCCCTGAATCTTACGGACGGTTTTTATTTCATTATTTTTGGCATGTTGAAAGATATTTTGAACATTTTTTGCTGTAATTTTTGAATGATGCTGTTGAGAAAATACACACACAGACAAACAATCATCAAAGGAATCAACTATAAGAGAGAATAATGTGTATTTAGTTGTTTAGTTGTTTTTTGTTATTTACAGGGAAATAAATGTAAATAAATGAATCTAAAAACAGGAACCTGAAAAGCTCTTATAGTTAGTTGTTTGCTAAAATGTGTTCAAACACAAGTAACGTAAGCTTTGTCAACGGAGATAAAGAGTGTTGACCCAACAGAGAGTTGCTCAACCAGTTTCTGTGCTTTCATTCCTTTCACTCGACGGGTCACTTAGAAGTTCACATTTAATGATCATTTTTAAGGGATGTTGTGCATTGTCAGAGTTTATTCCTCTTAACCTGAACATCATGTGAGTTCTGTTGTTGTGTGTTCAGGTGACGGAGGTCACAGCTACCTGAGGGACTGGCTGTGGTGGGGCGGCCTGTTAACCAGTAAGAGTTTAATGTCTATGAACTTCTTTGTGAGCGCGACCACAATGAAACTACAGGAGGACATCTGAGCACATGGTTTTGTTGCCCAGGTGTTGGGTTCTCATGGTTCTGGTTGATATGGTGTAACATTATAAGAGGTGTTATCATGTGATGCCCCCCCCCTCCTCTCTGCAGTGGGAGTTGGTGAGGTCTGTAACTTCGCCGCCTACATGTTCGCTCCGGCCACTCTGGTGACTCCGCTGGGCGCTCTGAGCGTCCTCATCAGGTACGAGCGCTGAAGGAATCACACGCACGGCTGAAGGTCCGTTTCTCAGATTCAATAACGAGCTACTTCCGTGTTTCAGCGCCGCTCTGTCCTCCTACCTGCTCGGGGAGGAGCTGAACGTGGTGGGGAAGCTCGGCTGTCTGCTGTGCGTGCTGGGAAGCGTCCTGCTGGTTATCCACGCCCCACAGGAACAGGAAGTGACATCACTTCAGGACATGACCAACAAGCTGCTGGAGCCCGGTGAGCTTCTCTTATTAATATTCTGATGGGTTGTTGTGACATGAAGCTCGTTTGAGAGGTCAAGTAAACAGGAAGTCACAGTGTGTGTGTGTGTGTGTGTGTCTCAGGTTTCCTGGTGTACGCGGCGGCCGTGCTGCTGCTGTGTGCGGTGCTCGTGTTTTATTTCTCTCCTCGGGTCGGTCGCTCCAACATCTTCGTCGACGTCAGCATCTGCTCGCTGCTCGGAGCGTTCACCGTCTCCTCCGTGAAAGGCCTCGCCATCGCCATCAACACCGGTGAGTCACCGTCACCTCACACAGCAAAGAGAGGAACTGCAATATTAATGCCCGGAGTTTAAACCAAGAATAATAAAACATAACACCGACTTGAAACTAGAGATTGAGACCATAAACTCATGTTTACAATGTTTACTGAGGTAATAAATCAAGAGAGAAGTAGAGTCATTTTCTCATAGACTTCTATACAACCAGAGGAGTCGCCCCCTGGTGGACACTAGAGAGAATGCAGCTTTAACACATGAAGCTTTGACTTCTCTTAAGGACCGGAGGTCGTCTTTAGGTCTGAAGACTGCAAGTTTAAAATGAATAAATCTGGATGTGTGGAGTTAGTAAGAAGTGAAGTTACGTCACATCTCTGGTACATGTAGCAGCAGACCTCAGCTGTCTGGGTGAACACAGCCTCACTGTGGACTTCACTGCTTCATGTACACTGACTGTGTCTCTGTGTGTCCAGTGCTCGGTGATACCTCGGTGCTCGCTAGTCCTCTCACCTGGATCCTGCTGTTCACTCTCATCGTCTCCATCGTAACGCAGGTGAGTTCATCTCATCCTGTTCTTGTGGAGACCTTCTGGTGGACCACCGTGTGACCACGCTAGTCTCACCTGTCTGTGTGCCTGCAGGTGAACTACCTGAACAAGTCTCTGGACACCTTCAACACCCTGCTGGTCTACCCGGTCTACTACGTCCTCTTCACCACCGTGGTCCTCACCACCTCCATCGTCCTCTTCCAGGAGTGGAGGAGCATGGCGGCCGTGAACGTGGTCACGACGCTGGGAGCCTTCCTGGTCATCGTGGTGGGCGTGGCCATGCTGCACCTCTTCAGAGAGCTGCAGGTTGTTTGACTCTGTTTTATGTATTTCTATGATATTTGCTACAAAAAGAAAATGTGTGTAAATCTGTGTTAGTTGTCGGGCTACAAAGTGCAACACGTAGATATACAACAATAAAAGTTAGGTGTCTTTCAGATGACGATGAAACAGCTGACCAATCAGCTGGCTCAGCCGGTGGAGAGGGAGGGGCTTCCAGAGGAGGTTTCAGCCAATGGACGAGCAGGAGGAGGAAGCAGGAATAGAAAGGAGGATAAATACGGACTGATGGACAACATGGTGATAGAGAGTCTTCCTCCTATGAGAGATGAAGGCCCGAGGGTCTTCATCATCAGCTGAAGAACAACGGGGGGGCACAGGTCTGTGCTTCCTGTCTGGACTTTGTAGTTCACACTGGTCAGGGCTGTAGTCCTGAGAGGTCAATGAGGTTCATCAGCTTTCAAACAAAACAAATCACATTTACTGAACAAGCTCAACACGGAGTCAGTGTAGTATAGTGTATAGTGTATAGTATAGTGCAGTATAGTGTGTAGTGTTGTATAGTGTATAGTGTATAGTATAGTATAGTGTATAGTGTATAGTGTAGTATAGTGTATAGTATAGTGCAGTATAGTGTGTAGTGTTGTATAGTGTATAGTATAGTATATAGTGTAGTATAGTGTGTAGTGTAGTATAGTGTATAGTATAGTGTAGTGTAGTGTGTAGTATAGTGTATAGTGTAGTATAGTGTATAGTATAGTGCAGTGTAGTGTAGTGTAGTGTGTAGTATAGTGTATAGTGTATAGTATAGTGCAGTATAGTGTGTAGTGTAGTGTAGTGTGTAGTATAGTATAGTATAGTGTAGTATAGTGTGTGTAGTATAGTGTATAGTGTATAGTGTAGTATAGTGTGTAGTGTAGTATAGTGTATAGTATAGTGCAGTATAGTGTGTAGTGTAGTGTAGTGTGTAGTATAGTGTATAGTGTAGTATAGTGTATAGTATAGTGCAGTATAGTGTGTAGTGTAGTGTGGTGTGTAGTATAGTGTATAGTGTATAGTATAGTGCAGTATAGTGTGTAGTGTAGTGTAGTGTGTAGTATAGTGTATAGTATAGTATAGTTGTGTTACTGAAGAGCTCAGATGATGAGTCAGAGATGTGAGATCACCACAAAGGCACTGATGTGACTACAAATGCACACAAAACAACTACAAAGACATAAAACAGAGACACAAATTGATCATTAAGACAAAACCGACACAAAGAGTTAAAGTTGCTACATGGAGACGTAATGATCAGCTGCCAAACATGAGTATTTTCTAAATGCAGGACTTAATGAATAAAGCTGGTGTTTGTATTAATTTCTCTTATTGTCGACAAATCTCAGAAACGTTAAGCAGAACAAGAGGTTATTATAAATACTGCTGATCATCTGATGATGTGGAGCTTTTATTTACAGTAGCTGTGATTGTACATAAATAATAACCTGCAGCACTTGTTGGTAACAGCAGAGCAGAGAGCTCGATGGGGAAATAACTCCACATCAAATCTAGTTTGTGCGTGTGCGTGTGCGTGTGCGGTGTTGTGACGCTGTGCGGTCAATATGAAGCTGCAGCCTGTTAGCATAGCTTAGCATAAAGACTGGAAACGGAGGGAAACCGCTAGCATAGAAACACAATCCACCTCCCAGCTCATTGTGAAGCTCACTGATTCATTAACATCTTGTTTGTTTGCTACTCGACACATAAAACAGTGAGTTGTTACATAAACGATCAGATTTGGTCGATATGTTGAATTCATTTGAGTTATTGTTTTTTGCAGGATGTGTAAAATATCTACATCGTGCAACAATGCGCACGCTACAGTAGCTGCATTAGCTACATTAGCTACATTAGCTGTTTTGAGTCACGACGAAACTGGAAACTGATGCTAGCTGTCCCTTTCATGTAGCCTTGTCGCTAACGCTAGCTAGCAGCTGTTTGCAGATATCAAGCGGCTGAAAGTGACGATGACGCTGATCTCTGTTCATCTGGTGGTGACAGTCTTTATTATTATTATTTTTGCACATGTATTGCACATGTAACGTCTCAATCATGTTTTACCATTTACAGAACAGCTGTTTCCGTCTCTCCAGTCTTTATGCTAAGCTAAGCTAACAGGCTGCTAGCTGTAGCTTCATGCTGTATTCCTTTAACTTCAGCGTATCAAACCAACAACACAGAGAGCAGACTTGATGTTGAATCTTGTAGTCTCTGTAGTTTTATAGTTTTTATGTAAAGTATTTGTGATGTGAAATTCAACTGCTGAAACTAAATCTGTGGTTTGGTTTTATTTACGGTTTCTGATGCTTCAATCTCATCAAACTGTTTCCTGTTAGCTTTGAAATATATATTATAAAGAACAAAAAGCTGTATTACATCATTTCATTGCCTTCTTTATTCTAAAGGTTTTTCATGACGAGCATCTCTTTACTGCTCGGTGGTGGAAAGTAAGCAAGTACACTTGTGAGGTACTTGTACTTTCATATATTTTAGTATTAAACTACGTTTATCGTGATGATACTCGGTGAAGTCATATTTTAAATGCAGGACTTTTACTCTGACCAGAGTATTCTCACCTTGTGGTATTATTACTTTTACTGCAGTAAAGGATCAGAATACTTCCTCCACTACTGGTTTACAGGTCCAACATGTTAAATACTGTGAAGTATCAACAGAGAGTACTAAATGAACATCATGCTGTATTGAAGAAGACTTGAAACTAGAGATTGAGACCATAAACTCATGTTTACAATGTTTACTGAGGTAATAAATCAAGAGAGAAGTAGAGTCATTTTCTCATAGACTTCTATACAACCAGAGGAGTCGCCCCCTGGTGGACACTAGAGAGAATGCAGCTTTAACACACGAAGCTTTGAGGAACTGTAAAGAACCGGAGGTCGTCTGGTTTTTGTCTCCACTTCCTCCTGATACAAACATCTGTCTCTTGAGCTGATAAACGCTTCGTTTGATGCTGAGTCGATAGTGAACGAGGTCATCATGAATATGATGATCTGTGCAGAGCTAAGAGTTAATCAGTTCCACTTCTTTCTACTTCTGTGGTAAAACAGATTCTTAGTTTATGAGTTTATGTTAATGAGACGAATGAAGCTGCTTAGAACTCGTCTTTAGCAGCTTCCCTGCAGACACTTTGACTCTGTCTTGTTCCAGTAGAGCTGACGGTGTTCACAGCATCGTCACTGCATCTCTACTCACAGCAGCAGTGAGGAAGTGAGACGTCCTTCAAGAGAGAAGCAACTAACTGAATCCATCTTTTATTTCATCGTTCACACATTATAGAACTTCCTCTGCTCAACCTTTTCCTCCTTTTCTCAGCTCTTCTGAAGTTCTCCAGACGTCCACTTGGTGTCACTGTGATACCAGACTTCACCTGGAGGAGGTGAGCTTCAGTCACACTGAAATATTAAAAAACACACTTTAGTCTCCTGAGAGCCTGGATCGCTCCTTGTGTCTCGTCTGCTGCGTGTTATATATACATATATATGTATAAGGGTATATATATGTGTATATATGTAATCACAGCTCTATCTGCTGCTGATAACGGCTCTCTGCTCTAAAACCAAAACCCATAATTACATTTTACACGCTTTGATTGGCTTTCGTTAATTCCCTGACAGCCAATCGCCTCGTCTGGGTCGCTCAACTTGTTCCTTTTTGTTTTGCGTGTTTTGGACTTTAAAGCTCCTCCTCCTCCTCCTCCTCATGATCAACATGAATGTGGGTATGTAAGTGTGTATAATGAGGATAAATGTGATTTTCTGGTCCACTGTGTACCCCCCCCCCCAGTAGAAACTCACCACTACGTTCATTGAAGGACCTTCTTGCTGTGATTCATGTGATTGTGTTTGAGGGTTTGTGAGAGCCGGAGGTCTGTGGGGGGGGGGCAGATTCATTGAACCCGTTACGAACTTCATAAACTCGTCTTTTCTTCCGTCTCCTCCAGGATCTCGAAGTCTGATTCAGGTCAAAGAAAGAGTTCTACAGAACCTCTTCCTGTCACATGACCAGAACAATGAGGTCTCACCACCAGGAGGACCAGTGTGGACCAGCGTGGACCAGTATGGAGGACCAGTGTGGACCAGTATGGTGGACCAGCATGGACCAGTATGGAGGACCAGTATGGTGGACCAGCATGGACCAGTATGGAGGACCAGTATGGTGGACCAGCATGGACCAGTATGGAGGACCAGTGTGGACCAGTATGGTGGACCAGCATGGACCAGTATGGAGGACCAGCGTGGACCAGTATGGAGGACCAGTATGGTGGACCAGTGTGGACCAGTATCGACCAGTGTGGACCAGCGTGGACCAGTATGGAGGACCAGTGTGAACCAGTATGGTGGACCAGTATGGAGGACCAGTGTAGACCAGTGTGGACCAATATGGTGGACCAGTGTGGACCAGTATGGAGGACCAGTGTGGAGGACCAGTGTGGACCAGTGTGGACCAGTATGGAGGACCAGTGTGGAGGACCAGTGTGGACCAGTGTGGACCAGTATGGAGGACCAGTGTAGACCAGTGTGGACCAATATGGTGGACCAGTATGGAGGACCAGTGTGGAGGACCAGTGTGGAGGACCAGTGTGGACCAGTTTGGAGGACCAGTGTGGAGGACCAGTGTGGACCAGTATGGAGGACCAGTGTAGACCAGTGTGGACCAATATGGTGGACCAGTGTGGACCAGTATGGAGGACCAGTGTGGACCAGTATGGAGGACCAGTGTGGAGGACCAGTGTGGACCAGTGTGGACCAGTATGGAGGACCAGTGTGGACCAGTATGGAGGCCGGTTCGACACCGTTTATAGCTTCACATCCTTCCATGTACACACGGCGAGGAGGCAGCGGTGTGTTTGAGCGTAGAGCCGTTAGAAGCTGACGCAGAGCCGGATCTAAAGGGTGGCGTGTCTGCAGGCCTCTCATGGAGGGAGACGGGGGAGACGGGGGAGGGGCTCCACCTTCCATCAATCAGATTCCATTAGATCTCTTATGACCCCGAGTTGTTCGCTCTGCAGGAGGAGGATCCAGAGTGGGGGGGTGGATTTATATCTTATCATATGGTTATTAAACAGATGTACCACAGACGTGCTCGATGAAGTAAACCCTGAATACTCTGTGACTTCCTGTCTTCGTCTCTCAGCTCAAAGCTCATTGGTTCCCACTGAAGACGTAAATCCATCAAAGACCAGAAGAATAAAAAGACGATCACACAGAAGTCTTCATCCTCAGCTTCTGCTCTTGAGTTGTATTTTCATTCAGAAGAAGTTTTCTGCTGACTCTTCTTTGTAACACAGTTCTATATTCTGTATTGCTTCCCAGTGAACGACGGTCTGGTGGTTTGTGAGCAGCCCCTCAGGGCCCCTCAGGGACCCGGTCCTCCTCCACATCGCATGTCTTCTGAAGGTTTTTCTTGGAGGGCGAGCAGCAGAGCGGTAATGAGCCACAAACTCCTCATCACGGCCTTTCGGGGCTAATTGTCGGCTTTGTTTCGTCCCCCGTCGGTCTCAGTCCTCCCTCACAGCCGGGGGAGTAATGAGGTGTTACGTGATATGATGTCCCCCCTCAGGACACCAAGCCATTCAGTGAGAGGTCCGGGGAGCTCAGGGGGACAAAGAGCAGAAGCTAATGGACAGAGACGAGGACGAAAGAGACAGTCGCAGGAGAAAGAAAAGAAAAGTTCCAGAAAGAAGAAATGAAGACGTTGAGCCGAGAGACGGAAGAAGAAACGCTTCACGAGACGAAGACGCTCGTTTATTGATCTCTCTTTATGAAACTAATCATTAGAAGAAGCCTCAGTTAGTCAGTGACTTTGAGAACACACAGAATCTGCTCCCAGTGTACATCTGATTTGGTTTCAGTCATATTTAATAACATAAATAATAATAATCTTTAGTGGGATAGAACATTTCATACAGACGATGATGCTGCATCGTCTGCATCATCAAATAAATTCAAATAAAACAGGAAACCTTCTCTTACAGATCAGATGAGTGAAGAAAGGAAGCAGTGTTCACTCACATGTTAACAGATGAACGAGAGCTGAACGTGTTAAAACCAGACCGAAGAAGAGGACGTCGTCATCGTCACCTCACTCGTTGGTTTGCGGATGTTTTGAAGCCTCGAGTTCGCCATCTTGTTTTTATCAACCAGTGAACAGGAAGTGACCATATCTGGACTGAGGAGGAGTGACGTAGAGACGGCGTATACGTCTCTGGTAGAGACCTGTCAATCACCGTGTAGCCCCGCCCTAAAGCATCCCCTGCTTTATGGTCTGTGTGACTCTAAATGGACCATAATGTACTAAATGAACATCATGCTGTATTGAAGAAGACTTGAAACTAGAGATTGAGACCATAAACTCATGTTTACAATGTTTAGGCTGCACCTCATGAGCTGAGACGTTCTCTTGATGGCGTCTACCAGACGTCAGCTTGAGGTCTTTGGAGATGATGGAGGAAGTAATGTGTCATTAAAATGCAATAAGAAGTCCTGATGTTAAATAGTCATAAAAAATGACAAAACTTACAGTACGCCGAACAAAGTCAAATAAAAGGTCATAGTATAGTTAATATAAAAAGAGTCGTAGGATAGTGTGTCTATAGTAAGTCACTGCTAGTAATACATTAAAAAGTCTCCTATAAAACGTCATAAGAAGTCTCAGTGTGTGGACGTGTCTTCATCAGCAGATTATGGTTATTAGTCACGCAAATCTTCAAACTTTCCAGTATTTCTGCACTTTGTCCAGTTAAAGAAGAACCCGATGAAGAGGACGGTTCATGCTCGACCCGTTTAAAAACACTCAATGCTTCCTCATCTCACAACCGTGGAGATCAACACCCGGGTTCATCTCACAGAGACCAGGAACGTCTGTAGAACTACAAAGAAATACTAAAGTCCAGATGATGTTCAGAGTTTTTATTAAATAATAGATTCATTAATATGAATCAAAATAAACTGATGAATCAATTAAAAATAACATTTTGACACACAAAGCTCAGGTTCAGAGTATAAAAGAATGGACGGTCATGTGTTTGAGTCCAGAGAACATGAAGCAGTGAGGAGAAGAACCCGGAGAGATGTCGGGGAACATG